TCTGAATTTCACTTCCTCCTCTGTTGAAGGGTAATGTTATTAAGGTATAGCTACATTTTATGCACAATTACCAGTTTGAAGTTATATGCTAGAAAATCTTATACGCAAAATTTGAATTAAAGCAAATCCTAAAAAGTTGGGAAAATTCATTAATCACGTGATGTCACAGTTGGTAGGCCAGTGAGAGTGTTCATTATGTCTTCATTTTTTGGGAATGTTAGTCATGAATTACCTGAGTTTGAGTAACGTGGGAACTTCAGGAATCCCTGGTATGGAATGAAGTGCCCCATCCTTCTCTTATTGCTTATTGGGTTCCCTAGAGGATGTGATTCTGTTTTATGAAATGTGAAATGAGAAAATACTGTTGTTAGAGAAGCCCAAAGGAACTCCCATACTTAGATGATAACCAGGTATGCCCTGGCATTTGGCAGTTTATACCCAATATTCAGATCTTTCTCGAGGATGCAGGACCAAGGTGGTCTCCTCTTCAGCTGCTTCTGCTACTGATGGGATTAATGCTGTTAGCTTTCCAATAAATTAATGGCTATAGTTACTTTAGTTTGGAGGTCATTAAAACTTGAATTTACAAATAAAAAACTGGATCGGGCAACAGTTTCTATATGTGTGTGGGTGAAGATACATCAGCTTAAATCACACCTTTGCTCAGATGTTTCCAGTGGCCAACTTTTTTATAAGGCCTTATACAATCTGCTTCTAGCCACATCATCTTCTCTCCCTCAACCTAATTCTAATTTCACTTCCAGCGAAGACATACAAGCTTCCTTGCTATTTATTGACTTCAAATTCCAATTGTTCATTGCTAAACATTGTTTATATGTTTATTGCTAAAATTGTTCATATGAGAAAGCAGTGGGCTTTTGTATATTAACCTGGTTTCTTTACGACCTTGCTATAATCACTATTAGTTCCAGCGTTTTTGTTTTTTGTTTTTTGTTCTTGGTCAGTTCTTTGAGATTTTCTACATAGTCATGTCTATGCAAACAAAGGTAGTTTTATTTCTTCTTTTCCAACCTGTGTAATATTTTCTTATCTTATTGTACTACTTAGGATGTCTAGCACAATGCTGAATGGAAATGTTGAGAGAGGACATCCTTGCCTTGTTCCTGATCTTAAGGAGAAAGCATTCAGTTCTTACCGTTAAACATAAAGTTAGCCATAGACTTTTTGTAGATGTCCTTTGTTAAGGAAGATTCCCTCTTCTTAATTTTCTGAGGCTTTTATCATGAGGAGTGTTGGATTTTGTCAAATGCTTTTTCTGCATCTTTGTGACAGGATTTTTATTCTTTAGCCTGGTATAGTGGATTACATTAATTGATTTTTGAATGTTGAGCCAGCCTTGTGTACCTGGAATAAATTCCACTTGGTCATAGTATATCATTTTTTCATACATTGGTGGGTTCAGTTTGCCAATATTTTTGCATCTGGGTTCATGAGAGATACTGGTCTGCAGTTTTCCTTTCTCGTAATGTCTTTGTCTGATTAGAGTAATGCTGGCTGCATAAAAAGACTTAGGAAGTAGTCCCTGTGCCTGTTTCTTCAACACCGAAAGCCAACCCTTTGAGTCTTCCACTTGCTGGCCCCCTGCCTGGAAAAGTCTTCTCCCCAGATTTCCATATGTTTCATGCTCTCCTTTCAAGTCTGTGCTCAGATATCCTTTTCTCAGTGAGGCGATCTCTGATTACATACTATTAAAATTGCAAATCTCCTCTTCTCTCATCTCTACTATTCCCCTTCCCTCCTTTATTTTTTCCATAGCACTAATCATCTTCTAAAATACTATATAACTTACTTGTTTTCTGCTGCCACCCACTAAGTATAGCTCTGTGAGGGTAGAGGTTTTGTCTTTTTTGTTGTTGTTCATTGTTGTATTCCTCCTCCCTAGAATACCGCCTGGAGCATAGTAGATGCTCAAATATTTGTTGAGTAAATGGATTTAAGCCATGACTAATAATGTAGTTATAGCCAAGAGGATCTGCAAAAATGAGTTATGTGTTTATATCTGAGGAGGAATGTTCCCAGGATCAGAGGAAAGTAAATATTGTTGATAGCTTTTATAAAATTTGGGAGGCATTTGACTATGTTTTGCTAATCAACTGTATCAACTTGGCCAAGTCAACTTATTTCTCTGGGCTTTGGTTTCTTCTTCTTTTTATTATTTATTTATTTATTTATTTATATTTATTTATTTATTTATTT